AGGCTACCTAAAAGTTTATCCTCCTAGACAACTCTGGCAGAGAAGAAAGGAAGAGGAAGAATTCATTTTCTTAAGCCACAAATCCTTTGAATACCAAGAAGCATGAATTTCTTCACACCACAAAAAGCAGGCATGAAAGGCAAATTGCATTCTCTTTTTTATGCACAGGAGCTACTGGAGAGAAGATCCACAACAAAAACATCGTTGGTTTATTTGTTTTTAAACAAATGTAACTCAATGGTATGCCTCCTCCTAAACAACCCTGTGGCAAATAATAACATCAGTCACGGGAAGATGCCGGAGCAAAGGCAAACTCCTTTGAAACCAACCAAGTCCTTCCTTTTGGGGCAGGCCCACAGGTTGCTGTTGAGCTGTAAAGGTTTTTGCAGGGTTCATGTCCATTGATGAATTCCTCGGTGGTACTGGGAGACACTTTGAAATAACTCCTGCCGCAGCACCAGCGAGGCAGCACGTCCATAACCTGCCCCGCAAAGCCCAAAGGGAAACTGATTTCTGGCACCAGGAGTCCCGAGAGCATTTAAGGATGTTGTGAAGACATATAACTAATTAGACCTTGAGAAGAGAGATACTACATTGAAGTTCCCCAAGTCGAAAGAGGATCGCTGGAGGAATACAGCGGGAAATGTAGAACCATCTGCAATTACGTTATTGGATTATGTTTTGTTAAATCTCCCACTGATCCCCCTGCTCTGCAGAAATCTGGACAAATAGGATTCAGATAGCTAAACATAAACATTCCCTGTCTTTGTGGATGCTCACAAGGCGTCCTATTTACTCTTCAGCTGCTGCCCAAGAAGAAGGTGGGTCAGCTGTAGGTCATGTGTCATGATGCCAGCCTCATACAGATGTCCCAGATCCCCTTGGACAGTCCCCTTGAAAGGCACCAGTCACTCACATCCAGGCAACCAACCCATGCCCAAGCTGTACTGTGTAGAGATTTAGCAAAGAATGCTAAAATAAACTGATCTAGAGCCAAAATACAATGCCTCAGACTTGTGTGTGCAGTTCCCTGTAGTCAACTACAGCCTGATATACTTCTCTATCCCAACAGTTATCCTGCCAAGAAGTCAGGAAATTCCTGTAGGACCTAGCTGGTTTTTGACTCTTAGTATTTTTAGTATCAGAAAAACAAAAGTTGCTGCGGTATTTTTATGAGATAAGAAGAAGATGCAAAATGTTTAACAAGGAGAAAGAAAGAAAAAAAAATAATCACAATATCCTAAATTAACCAGATCTCTCTTACACTTCTCTGCTTACAAAACCCAAACAAAAACTTATGCATACTATATATATATATACACACACACATATATACCACATGCATGGAAATAAGAGCCACATGACACATTGCAGAGGTATGATACACCAGATTTGTCACCTGTCCCATCCTATCTACCTACTCCCAGGAAGCAAGGAACACCTCCAGCAGCCCATGCTGCTGAGCAAATCCTCACAAGCCTTTTGACTTTGGCATTTATTGTTGTTTGTGTTTGTTTTTGCTTTTTAAAATCAGCCTGTCAGAGAAGAGTTTCCTTCTTTCACCTGGAGAAATTACAAAATTGTATTATAAGAGCAGAGAAGGTTGTGGTTGCCAGGAATGATGGCCATTAGAAGTACTGAGCAAAAATTGACTAAAAGAGGGCTGCAAGACCGATTCAGCCATTTACAGTCAGAAGGGCCCCAATTTCAGCATCAATAATCCTGATAGCATCTTCCACTCCACAGGCTCAGAGGACCAGCAGATGGGCAGATGGAGGGGAACACCACGCTGAGGCACCGTTGGCACCAGCATGTGCAGCCCCTGGGGCCAAAGGCTGCTCCATGGCAGGGGGGGGAGGGCAGCATCAAGGAGAGGTGCTGTAGGCACTGAGCACCACGGGGATGGAGGGCAGCATCAAGGAGAGGTGCTGTAGGGTTGCCTAACTAGGAACAGGATGCAGGAAGCCTCAAAATAAGGACTTTCTGCATGGGAAAAACTATTTTGTAAGAGACTCACGTGCAGCAGCAGTAGTGTGAGCTCTGTAAAAAAAAATTTCTGGAAACGTACCATTCCCCCTTAGTACGCTCTGGTCCTCATCGGTTCATCACTACTACCTTACATCAGTCACATCACCTGTCCTGGCTGGATGGTGACAGCTCACCCAGAGATGCCACATCACAACATGTTTACCAACTGCTGGCTTGATTTAATGCTCCACCTCCTCTTACGCCTGAGAATTACTCAGCTTAACCCAAATCCCCAGCGCCTTTTGCCCCGTGTGGCTCTGTGCTTGGGAAGGGAAATCCCTGGATGCTCGGGGCCAGCAGCACAGCATCCCTCGTGTCCCACCCACGCTGCATCCAATGCTGAAAGCATCACAGCACCGTGGGCAATAGACAAGCCCAGAGGTGGCTGAAGCAGATACACCAGGGCTGGTGAAAGGGGCTGCCTCGAGAACGGCCGTTCTTCAGGAGTTCATGTGGAAAAGCACAGCTGAAGGCAACTCCCGAGTGTATTAAGAGACCAAAGGGAGAGGGCTTTGAAGAGCAAAGGCAATGTTTACCCAGCTCTGCCCAGGGAAACCCAGAAAACTGGGAATCTGTTGAGATAGGATCTGGGCAATATTTCATGAAACACAGCAACGCAGCATTGTGATGCTACTCCAGCTTTCTGCTGGGCTACCCCTGACTGACTGTACCATAAACATAACTAGCAAAAAAAAAAGAAAGAAGAAAAAAAAAGCAAAAAAACCCCACCAAACCTGCACCGTGCAAGAAAATTACCATATTTTTCAAACATACAAACTATTGCAGCAGATTCAATCACGAAACAGCTAATTTTAGGAAAGACAATCCACAAGCTGGCAACTGCTGTTTGTTTTGCAAGGGTACAGAAGCACAAATTCTTAATTCCAGTAGCTCAGCTGATAACAGTCACCTGCAGTTAAACTACAGAGACATAAAGGAAAGAGGAACCACGATACCGATATAATTTACAATGGATTTGACACTTGACACTCTGTCAACATTTGGAGGTACTTGATTGAACAACCATTTCTGTGTTCACAAACAGTGTTTTGTTTTCTATTTCATCAATTCTTTGGGACCAAGGACTGCCTTTCTACCTATATTTGCACAGCTCCTACCATGGGGTCCAAATAACTGGATGAGGCCTCTGGGTGCTACTGCCTTTTAACTACACTATTTCATCACAGAGATTATGTTCTTAGTACCTTAGCAGCAATATTTTCAGAACTTTTTTCCTTTAATACCCCCACCCCCCAACTTAGATCTAATTATTGTTGCAAATAAAATTTAAAATCATAACATCTATAATGAAGCTCAAATATATTGTAAAGTTACTTAAAAGTATATGAATACAGGCATGGTGCACCAGTGCAAGTTCTTCAAATTGAAATTCATTAAAAGGTAAATACTTGCCAGATTCGATACAAAATACACATGATAAACAAGAGACCTCTGGGGTTCAAGTCAAACACTATAAACACAGCATAACATTACAAAAATAGCATAACACCCTAGGCTGAAGTAGGCATAAATATTATTTTCATCTTCTACCCAAAGAAAACATCAGTATTTCCATTTTTCCAAAGGAAATCCAGTTTGAGTCATTGAGGAGAGCTCTGCCCGCGTTACTTTTAGTTTCAGTTTTCCCCAGCACCAATAGGAAGCCCTTCCTCTTCATCTCAGCTATTTCCTGCCAGTAGGAGAAACAGAGTGGGAAAGGAAAACCCAAACCACCCTTTTCCTTGGGCAATGGGTGATGTGGGCATGTGCCAGGTGGGACCTTCAAAGGCTTCTGAGCTGGCCAGAACCCGACCCCCAGCAGCCTGGCTCCACACCTCCGCCTACCTTTATCTTTTCACCACTGCTTGCAGAATTGGGCAATATTTACCTAAAATTGCCACATCCTGGAAGGAAGGGGCTGTGAGAACACACATCCCGTGGGGCTGGTGAGATGGCGACTGTGTGTCTCCATGGGGTGACCCCAGGGGTGGGTGCCAGACGAGAAGCCAACAGGGGCATTTGGAGGAAGAAGCCCAGGCAGCTGCCTGCCCCCCCTCACCCCCCCTGCCTAATTTCAACACACGGTCCAAGGCAACACCAGCAACTCAATCACTGGAGCTTCCTTTGGCTTATCAATCAATTAATTGTAAGCGCATACGGTGTTTTCAGAGGCGTTCTTCATATGTAGCCCAGAAACGCTCAGGCTGCTTAACTTAAATAACATATTTAAAAATTAATTAACTAGTTACTTTTAAAATAATAATAAGGCAGTCACCTGGCTAACAAAAAAAGGTACAAGTATGATGTTCTTAATGGCATAATTTCATATCAAATGCATTATATATAGATATATAAAAATATATCTCAGGGTGGTGAGACACTGGAACAGGTTGCCCAGAGAAGCTGTGGCTGCCCCATCCCTGGAGGTGTTCAAGGCCAGGCTGGATGGGGCTTGGAGCAACCTGGTCTGGTGGGAGGTGTCCCTGCCCATGGCAGGGAGGTTGGAACTCGATGATCTTTAAGGTCCCTTCCAACCCAAACCATTCCATGAATCTATGATATATTATTCTATGTAATGACACACTTGATTATAAAACACATATAGAATAATAGGCTGTATATAGGTGCAGAGCTTTTGCACGTCTGTAATGAGGACATCGTTGCCAAAGGTGATGGACTCACTTCAGCAAAACAAAGACGCCTCGGTTCAAAACAAGATTACTAATTATTTAAACCGCGGTTTCCCGGCACCCGCCGTTAATCATTACCGAGCGCCGGCACTCGCGCGGCTGTAAATCACGGCGGGGCGCTATCGCGGAGACCGGGGGGATGGATAAACAGGCACGTCTGTAATGAGGACATCGTTGCCAAAGGTGATGGACTCACTTCAGCAAAACAAAGACGCCTCGGTTCAAAACAAGATTACTAATTATTTAAACCGCGGTTTCCCGGCACCCGCCGTTAATCATTACCGAGCGCCGGCACTCTCGCGGCTGTAAATCACGGCGGGGCGCTATCGCGGAGACCGGGGGGATGGATAAACAGGCTTGGAGAAGGCAGGGACGAAACCAGCCCCATCGGCGCCGCCAGCTCTGCTCGGGGGCTCCCTGCTCCCACCGGGGCGTTCCGAGCCGCCGCCTCGACCCCGGCTTATTTTAACGGGCTCACCCGGCGGCGGGCGGCTTCACAACCCCCTCACCCCCCGGCCGCCAACACCACCCGTACGGCCCGAGCGATCCCGCCACGGGCGACCGGGGGGGCTCTGCCCATGAGCCCCGACCCGGGTCCCCGTTGCCCCGGCCCCGCTCCCGTTCCCCCC